TTCCTCCCCACCCCCCTGCTTTTTTTTTTCCCTTTCAGCTGTTCAATGATATATCCCATAACATGTCATTAATGTATGTAATCAGTGGACCTGGTGTGGACAAACATCCAGAGATTGGTTTGTTTTCTATAGAAGATCACAGGAATGGAAGAGTGTATGTTCACCGCCCTGTTGATCGAGAGACAACGCCGTCTTTTATGGTACCAAAATTTTGATATTTTCTAGGCTTGGGTTTATTGTAAAGCTGCTGCAGGAATATTGTATTCGGCAAGCATTAGTTAAGCTGCCCACACGCCAGGTCCTAGGAGGCTGCCTATTACACGCTGTGGTAAGCCTTAAAAGTGTGCATGGGCAGAGAGGCTAATTTTATAATGTTCTTAGAAACTTCTGGTCTCTGTGATGATGTATGTGAGCTGCTACAGATCTTCCTTCTAATGACAGGATTGCAAGCATGATCAGGATACCTGAAAGCATTTGGGGGTAGGGCTAGAGAATGTTTATAAAATGAGCTAATTTGTTTTTTGGTGTATCATGGTTGGAATATGTAGGCAGAAGCTACAAGCAGACCCTAATAACTGATGAATGAGCAATTATGAACCTGGTGGCGATTTCTTCTTGTGTCCATGTGTTCTTCAGGGTCTCATAACCCCAACACCGTGGTCTACTATGAATTTGAAATCCAGGTTCTAGGGATGCCTGGGTGGCTCAGCAGTTGAGAGTCTGCCTTCGATTCAGGTTGTAATCCTGGGGTCCTAGGGTTGAGTCCCGTATCGGGCCCCCCCGCGGGGAGCCTGCTTCTCCTTCTGCCTGTGTCTCTGCCTCTCTCTCTGTGTTTCTCATGAATAAATAAATAAAATCTTAAAAAAAGAGAAAGAAATCAGGTTCTAAACAAGGGAAAAAAATGTTGGTAGTATATTAGGCTACCAGCTTCACCTTACAGGGGATGCATACGATGCTAGCCTTTGTTGTTTTGGCTTCTGCTGGAAACTGAGCTTGGTTCTCAGGACTGCTCAGCTGTACATTGGCTCCTTCCGGGTGAGAAAGAACATCTGAAAGAAGTAATTTATATACATTTTCTCCAATGACCTTAAAATATTTACATACATAATAAAATATATGCCCTTATCTCATTCATTGGTGGGCTCTGAAACTCTAATTTTTTAAAAAAGATTTTATTTATTTATTCATGAGAGACACACACAGAGAGAGAGAGAGGCAGAGACACAGGCAGAAGGACAAGTAGGCTCCATTCAGGGAGCTCGATGTGGGACTCGATCCCGGGTCTCCAGGATCATGCCCTGGGCTGAAGGCAGCGCTGAACCGCTGAGCCACAGGGGCTGCCCTGAAACTCTAATTTTTAAATAGTCAGGAATGCTCCCCAAACTCCAAAAGTCATGCAGAGACGACTCTGCTGGTCTTCACTATATTTATGGAAACCCTTGCCCCATCGGGTGAATTGGCAGTGTCTGTCAAACAGAAGGAATATAGAGTGGTCATAGGTAGTTGGGCCCTGGGGCAGCCCTACTAAATCTTGAGTGAGCAAAAACAGATCACCGAGGGATCTGTGAAAATGAGGATTTTGCATCAGAACATCAGGGTGGAGCCCGGGACTCTGCATCTCCAGCAAGCTCCCAGGACAGGGTGCTGCCGCTGGCCCCCGGCGGCCACGTGCTGAGTGTGGAGGGCCAGAGGGTGAGCCTGACTCGTGCAAGGACTGGACAAAATATATTGTGCTTATGGTCCTTGTTTCGCTGTTGTTTTTTGGTTGCTGTTGTTTTTTGGTTGCTGTTGTTTGCTTTTAACATCTTTACTGACGTATCAAGGGTTGGTTTTCACAAGGTTTAAGATGAGACTTTTTCCTGGAAGCTGATAATATCTAAGCCAAATCCATAAGAGTGTTTTCTTACATGTGAGGCCCAAATGGGAAAGCTTGGCATGTCAAGGGCCAGGAGGCCCCAGGGAACAGTTAGAACAAGCAGAGAAAATGTGAGAACATGAGCGGTGTCCCCACAGGTTCTACTCCGACAGGATTTCCAAACCCTGTGCTTGGACCTGCTGGGTGAGATCAAGCCCACCATCCCATCCCCCAGGAGTTATCACAGCCATGCTTTTCTACCAAATTCTACGATCACTTGCTAGTTGGCTTCTTGGTTGGCTGTGAACATCCATGAGAGAAGACACAGGGTGGGGTTTGGAGGCATGCCCCACCCCGAGGCTCTCTGTCTCATGACCCTGGTTTACTGTCTTCTTATTACTTTTCATCACCTGCACTGTATACCTGAAACGTGTTTGGTTCCCTGTGGGTGCTCAGTCTCCCCACTGGAATGCAAGTTCTAAGAGCGAGGAGTTTCGTACTGACTGCCATTTCCTGAGTCAGGAAGAGGGCTCTGCACATAGTAGGTAGGTTTCCAGGTGATTATGTGGATGAGTGAGCACAGCAGAATGTTGTCTCTGCTTCCAGACTGTTGTGGGTTGAATTGTATCTTCCAAAAAAGATAGGTTCAAGCCCTACCCCTGGTACCTGTCTATATGACCTTATTTGGATACAGGATCTTTGCAGGTGTCATCAAATTAAGATGAGGCCATACTGGATTAGGGTGGGCCCTAATCTGGTGACTGGCATCCTTGTCAAGGGAGGGGAATTTGGGTCGCACAGAGAAAGACAGGGAGGAGAAGGCTGGAGACAAAGACTGGGGTGACGCATTCATCCTGGCGGAGGACACCAGGACTGTTGGCAGCCCCCAGCAGCCAGAGGAGAGGCTTGAAACAGATTTCCCCTTAGAGTCTCCAGAGGGAACCAAGCCTGCTGACCCCAACTGGGATTCTAGTCTCCAGAAGTATGAGAGAACTCGTTTGGTTGTAAGGCACCCAGTCATCACAGCGGATATAGAAAACAAACATGCAGGGGTTAACATACTCTCTAGGAAGACCAGACACAGGCTGCTGAGAAGGGTGACCAGCCACAAAAAGGAGGTTAAGCAAGTGTTACAGAAACACCACACGAGCTGGGCATTCCAGCTCAGCCATCTGCTTCTGCAGAAGGATGCTTGCTACCGGGTCTTGGCGGCTCACAAAGCCAGGATGTATTAGAAGCGAAGTCAGCCCAAGTGTTGGCCAACAGACATTCCCAGGAGCACCGCTGTGCTCTTGGGGGTAGTGAAGGAGTCACAAGAATTAGCCAAAACATGTAAAAACTTGTGTTTGGGAGGTTGAGGGGTGGGTGGCGCTGATTTCTTGTTAATTCCATAAACCTACAAGAATGTAGGGACAGCAGCCAAGAAGCGCCTGAAGATGTAAGACATAGCTGGGAAGGGGAAAAGCCTGATTTTTTCTATGTAGGAATCTCATCTGTTTATATCAAAATCTGCTCAATTTCATAGGCTACAAACACACTCAGGAAATTTTTTCTTTTGTATTCCTTGAAATAATCATCTGTGGGTCTATATGCCAACGCACTCAGCTTTGCCTACTTGAAACCTATACGTACAAGTGACTTTGTCTTGTGTGTTCGGCATTTAAGATACTTGCATGTGCTTGCCTGTGACTAGGAGTACACATCCTGCGTGTGTCATTTCAGGGGTCACGTGCCCCTCCACCATGTCACTGCACTATGGTGGGCCACCCGGGAATCTAAATCTTAAGGCCATAACAAAAGGCTGAAAACCCTTTCCAAGTGCAGAAAATATCCATGACATTTCCCTTCTCCATTGCGATTTTGAGTCCCTGGAAATTCTTAGCATCTTGACAAAGAATAAACAGCACTTACGCCTCTCAGGCATCTTACAGAACTGACGGTCTCAGATGTAGCTTTTAGGATAATAGATGGAATATAAAATAATAAACATAAAACAAACGTGGTTCTTATTTTTAAGTGGAAGGACTACAGTTGGCGCTGTGTCGGAGCCAGAAGTCCGCATGATTAGGGAGCAGAGTTGCCAGCGCAGTCATAAATTATGGAAGAGCATGTGGAAATGGTGTGTGAGAAGGCCGATTTGCTTGTGCAGAAATGTAAAAATGTATGTTGGATTCCTGGGAGCAGACTAGCTCAGTGGTGTTGAGGGAAGAGGAGACAGCTGAACCGGGAGAGCCTGGGGCCCAGGCCACTGCTGTGGGACGCCTGGTGGGACCGCCACGGTGGATGCCCCAAGTCCACGGGCAAGAGGCCCAGGCAGGGTGTGCAGCAGAGACCTTGTGCTCTCTGGGGACAGGGCTGGAGAGATTGCTGCCCGAGGCTGCCGAGGTGCTGGGACCCTGGCTGGTGAAGCCACCTGCTCCGGGCCCTGCGTGGCTGTGGATGGGAGCGCTGAGGAACAGGCCAGTGCTGTAGTCAGGTCTACACCTACTTGCATTTGAAGCTGGGCTGTGCCGAGGGCGCAGCCAGGGACCGTGCAGTGACGCCCAGTGGGGCTCCAGGACCGCCTCCCTCTGGGGCTTCTCTGCGAGGAAGGAAGGAGGTGATTGGTGTAGGAGCCCAGTCCTGGGCCTCACTGAAACCGCTTCTCCTGGAAGGAACCCTGTGCTCGCTCAGCATCCCGCAGTCGGCTCTGCACCTGCACCTGCAACCAGGCTGCCCTGGAGAAGCCACCGCTCCTGTAGTGGGTGGGCGTGTGCCCTGACAGCTCCTCCACACGTCACCCTGGCCCGCTCCCTTCCCTGAACTTCTTCTATTTCACCACTGACTCCCCACAATCTTTGCAGCTTTCAACAAATAAAATCATTGTTTATCCTAGAGCTACAGAAATTCAGCAGCAAGTGGGTGCCGGGTGGTTCCGTGGGTCAAGCGTCTGATTCTTGGTTTCAGCTCAGGTCATGATCTCAGGGTCCTGGGAGGGAGCCCCATGTCAGGCTCTGAGCTCAGTGGGAAGTCAGCTTGTGATTCTCTCTCCCTCTGTCCCTGTCCCTGCCACTCCCCCCTCTGGCATGCGTGCTCTCTCAGATAAATCTTTTTTAAAAACATATATATATATATATATATATATATATATATATATATATATATAGTGCTCACTTTGGCAGTACATAGACTAAAATTAGAATGATACAGAGAAGATAAGCACGGCCCCTGCTCAAGGATGGCATGTAAATTTGTGAGGCATTCCATATTTAGAAAAATAAAAATAAATAACACATATGGTTGCCCACTCATTATTGTGTAAGTAGAGACTTTTTAAAAAGAATAGATTTTTAGAGCTGTCTTGGGTCTACAGAAGAGGAGAATGAACAGTACAGAATGCCTGACCCCTCTCCCTCCCCACCCCCTGCCCCACACAGTATCCTCTCTCATGAATGTCCTGCACTGGTGCAGTAACGTTTATGACCCTGGATGAGCCAGTAGGATGCATTATTATTAACAAAGCCCATAGTTGGCATTAGGGCTCACTTTCAGTGCTGCACGTTCTATGGGTGTGGGCAAATGCATATGACAGGTATCTACCCTTATAGTATCACACAGAGTATTTGGACTGCCCTAAATTTCCCTGAGCTCCTCATTATCCATCCATCCCCTCCTTTCTGAGCCCTTGGCAACTGTGATCCTTTTACTGTCTTCATACTTTTGCCTCTTCCAGGATGTCGTATGGTTGGAATTGTACAGTGTGTACGTAGCCTGTTCGGCTTGAACCCTCTCGCTTAGCCATGTGCACTGAAGATCATGTCTTTTTAGTGCTGGCTAATATTCCACTGTCTGGATGGACCACGGTTCATCCATTCACCTAGTGAAGGGCATCTTGGTTGCTTCAATGTTTCATGACTATGAACAAAGCCACTTTAGACGTCTGTGTGCAGGTTTTTGTGTGGTCATAAGTATTTGACTCTTTTGCATAAATACCAAGGAACCTGATTGCTGGTTTGCATGGTAAGAGGATGTTTAGTTCTGTAAGAAACCACCAAAGGAAGGAGGAATTATCTGCTATCTGTGTATCTTCTCCAGAGAAATAGTGTCTGTTCAAAGCCTTTGCCTATCCTTAACATTTGAAAATCAATTTTTTAGCAAAGTTCCAGGAAATAAAGTTAATATATAAAAATCAATTGTATTTTTATCTACCAGTGATGAATACTTCAAAATCAATATTTTAAAAACAGTATCATTTATAATATCACCAAAACAAGTGAAGTGCTTAGGCATAAACCTGAAAACTGTGCAGGACCTGTTCACTCAAAGCTATGAAATGCTGATGAAAGATACCAAGGAAGATCTAAATGAATGAAAAGACAGACTGTGTTTATGGATTGAAAGATTGAATATTAAGGGGCTAATTCTTTCCAAATTTACCTATAAATTTAGTGCAAGACTAATCAAAAGACTAGTGGAACATTTTATAGATCTCAACAAGCTGATCCCAAATTTTATATGGGAAGTTAAACCAGCTTTTGATTTTTTTTTTTACTCTGTTTTGCTATTTTGAACTTTATGGATATATGTGTTTATCTTTATTGTTTCCTTCTTTCTGTCTGAATTTAATTTGCTCCTTTTTAAAGATTTATTTATTTGAGAGAGAGAGGGACATGTGAATGTGAGTGGGGAGGGGGGCCAAGGGAGAGAATCTCAAGCAGACTCTGCTGATGGGGAAGCCCCACGTGGGACTGGACCCGACCCTGAGATTGTGAGCTGAGACGAAACCAGAGTCTGATGTTAACTGACTGAGCCCCCAGGTGCCCCTATTTGCTCCTTTTTTAAAAGGGTTCTTAAGAAACTAAAGCTAGAAGCCTAAAGTATTGCTTTGAGATCTTTTGTGAGGAAAGACTTCCCATTGAATGTTTGAGACAAGCAGACCCTCCTCATTCAAGCACAGAAGTGACAGGAGTAACCACCTAAGGACCCACGACATGTCAACAGCTGTGCTAGTTACTTTAAATGTTCCCTTTCCCCAAAACTTTCAAATGTCTGCTCTCCGCAGTGTTTCGCAGTATTGATTAGCACTTGCATTTCTCATGACAGCCCTGACCCCGTAGAGCAACCAAGGCTCCTGAGCAACTTGCCTGCATTTACCCAGGTGGAAAAACTGAGATTAGAACCTGGTCAGAACTAGTGATGTACTTCTCAAGTCAGGCCATTGGCTGGTCCCCAGAGGTTTACTGAGCGGCTCGCCCATGCCAGCAAGGACCTCGGTCCCTGGGGTCACGGGGCAAAGGACAGCATGAGATTGACGATGATCTGATTCGTGCCATCAGATAAATGATCCTGCAACATTAACACGGTTCCCTCTGCTTCCTAGGTGCATTTCAATGTCGTGGATCGCTTAACCAGAGAAATCGTGGATAATTCCTTGATTTTCAACATCAGGATCCGTGATACAAACGATCATGCACCCCAGTTTCCTAAGAAGGAATTTAACATCACTGTGCAGGAGACCCACCCTGCAGGTGTGCGGTGGGGGCAGCAGGGCTTCCTCTCCTCTCTCGTCCAGAACAGTTTTCTTGCTTTAATTTCAATGCGGTACTCGATCCTACTTGTCTTTAGGGGGAGATTTTACTGTTCACACCCTGAAGATCACAGATCCTGGATTCAAGCAAAATGCCAGGTCTGAAAGCCTCACTTTGTATTGGCAATAATATGAGGTGCAAATTGTGTCTGTTGGAAGAGCTGACATGTAAAGAGCAATCTAAAATAACTCAGATGCACTGAAGGGGAAAGGCAGAGCTGAGCGGTGCGTGCCCGAATATCTCTGTAAATTTGTCACCTGTAAAATGGCAACGAGATGCCATCTAAAGTTTCTGAGCTACAGATTCTGTGAGTCTTTAAATCCAAACCACTCTCATTAGAAGATGCATCTATTTTAATAACAAAACAGCTTCATTTATTTCACAAAATAGTCTTTTTTTTTTTTTTTCACAAAATAGTCTTTAGAAAATTTGGGAAATTCCAAGGCATTAAGACCGAAAAAAAAAAAAAAAGACCGAAATAGAAAGCATATTTAATACTTCCAATTAGAGATAAGTACCATTAATGTTTTATAGTCTTTCAATATTTGTCTTTGCATTTTATATGTCCGTGCGTGTACACACACCGTGTATGTATCTATGGGTACATATTCCCAGATTTTTATATATAACTACAAATGCACATTAATATATGTGCATACATTTTTTATCTTTATCCTTGTGCAAAATGCATATGGGTCTGTATTAGATATTTACAAATGCACAGGTGTGCTTTTTCATATGTGTATATTTATGAGCTATCTTTTCTAAAAGTGCAGTTTTACTCTTCGTAACCTAACAGCGTTCCCCTACAGCATCCTATTGCGTAGTATTTTATTTCATGGACGTACTTTAGGTGTTTTTTTTTAACTAATCTCCTATTGTTAGACATTTATGAGTTGTTCCTACTTTTTGTTATCTTCACAAAATATGCTTCAGTGAATATATTTGAGCTAAATCTGTGTCCCACTGAAACATTATTTACTTGGCATAAATTTAGAGAAGTAGAATGGCTGGTTCTGACCACATACACAATTTAAGTGCTCCACTTTACTCACCTACGATGTCTGAGGGGGCCTGGCAGGGGGCTCATCCTTGATTATGAAGTGCTGCCCATGTTGATAGGTTTCTTGTCCATTTCTGTTCGTGTGGTTGTCATTTTTCTCTTGATTTTCACCTTTTTATCCTGTATTAAAAATGTTTATGCCTGCCACGTATACTTGAAGTGTGTTTTCCTGGTTTATTGCTTCTTTTTAAATTTTGTTTATAGTTCTTTTTGGCACACATTCATAAATCAGTCTGATCTATCATGTCTTTTATGTCTTTGGCATTTGCAACCATGATTAGAAAGTTCTTGTGACTATTTAAATATTCCTCTTTGTTTTTTATAGTATGTCTACAGTTTGATTTTATATTTAAATGTTTAATCCATTCCGGTGTATGCCTCAATGCCATTTAGCAAAGACTCGTCATTCTGCTGGTTTGATAGGCTGCTTTTGTTCAATATTAACTGTTAAAACAATTCTTTCCAGGTCAACCTATTTTCCAGATGGTAACAGTGGATTTGGATGAAGAAAATACTCCAAATTCTCAAGTCTTTTATTTCCTTATTTCTCAAACGCCATTACTGAAAGAAAGTGGCTTCCAGATTGACCATATTAGCGGAGAAATAGGACTCTCAGGATGCTTAGATTATGAGGTAATGTGAATTTTATTATTAAAAAAAATGAAATGTATTCTCTATCTCTGAGCTCCAGACTTAGGATTTATGGTTGTAGTGGAAACCCCTCCGTGGCTAGCCTTGGTATTGAAATTGCTGTAATGGATTATTACTTTATTAATACTTCTCTTTGCTGTATTTGAAGGGAGTGACTGCTCTTTTCCTTCCCACACAGACTGCTCCACAGTTTACACTACTAATTGGAGCGAGGGATTTTGGAGAACCATCCTTGACATCCACGGCCACCGTTCATGTTGCTGTGCAAGAAGGCAACAACCACATGCCCACATTTATCCAGGACAACGTAAGGCACCTGCACTGTCTCAAATGCCAAGTCCCCATGTAAATGGCCCTGAGTCCTGGGCTTGGTTCTGCTGAGGGAGTTCTCAGCAGGCACCCACGTTACATGTTATTCTCCAAAATAACGTAAACTAGATGAAGACATCAACCGTACTGATACAAAAGCATTTAATAATAGACTTGGCAGCGTACGTTTCTTAACTGTTTTGTGCCAGAAACTGTGCTCAGAACCTTACATGCATGCTTTCATTTTCAATTGTTGGGACTAGCACATGATTTCCTTGTTTTACAGACAAGAACACTGAGGCATTGGGAGGATAGAGAATCCGTGCTCATTCTACATTGAAGTTTCTCACTTCCACACTATTTTTTTAAAATGACCTTATTTATTTATTCATGAGAGACACACAGAGAGAGGCAGAGACATGGGCAGAGGGAGAAGCAGAGGACCCCGATACAGGACTCAATCCCAGGACCCCAGGGTCACGACCTGAGCCGAAGGTAGACGCTCAACCACTGAGCCACCCAAGTGTCGCTCAATCCCACATTATTAATGGGGACTGAGAGATTTGTTGTAGGGTCAGTGGAGACTGCCCAGTGCACTGGAGGGTGTTTAACATCATCTCTGACCTCTTCCCACTAGGTGCCCAGGCACCTCCCAGTTGTGA